AAAAAAAAAAAAAAAAAAAAAAAAAAGAATACTTCTGGGTAGACTATGAACCCAAAGAATTAAATGATTTGCGTAGAGGGAGAGCAGAGGAGAAACTTTAGAGATGCTGTCTGCATTTAAGAATAGAAACAATAGGCTTTTTGAATAAAAATCTGCCCTGACTCTCAGATTAATATATTTTTCAATACCCTAACACTATATATGCTCAGGGCTCTGTATTTAATCTCCCCAGTATCCTCTAGGGTAGAGAGTATTGCAAAATAGTGAAATAGATGGTTTCAGAGAGGTTTTGTGTAACTACTCATTCAACTCATAGTACATGGTGAAGTCACTTTATGAATGTTTAGATTTTTATTCATTTATTTTATTAGTGTATGTTTAAGTACACAATAGTTCCATTCATTTTGGGGAATTGGTATACATACATCTGTATATTTATTTATATAAATATAGGTAATATCTTGAATTGTTTGATCCCTTTACTCTTCCCAATAGTTTTCATCATACCAAATTGGGCTTGCATGGCATGAATCTGTCCCTCTGAAACAGGATATATGATCCCGGGGTTCATGAGAAGGTAAGAATGAGCCAGTTGGGATCATAGTCACTGTGTGATTCCCTAGTCCGAAGAGAGCAGACTGCCATTTGAGAGGGAATTGATAAAACATACAAAATTAAAATGAAACAAAGTCAGGACCAAAAAGGTATCATGCAAGATTAAAATCATGTGAATGATGATGTGCATTAGTTATTTTAATGTCTTCCAAGTACATTTTATTTTGAATGATATACTCAGATAGCTCACATGGTAAGGTATAATGGAAAAAACATGTAGAGGAATGGCTGAATCCAAAGAATAAACACACAGCTGCAGAGGTGAGGAGTCAAAGGGGTAAACATATGCCCCATCCCCCAGGGATCTCATTAGAGTACGAGTGACCATATACGGAGAGGCCAAATGAATCTCACTATTTGCAAAAACCCACAGTAAATGAGACAATGACAAATCAATAATAATTAGGCCTGTAGGTTTTTATTGACTCAGATGTCTGAAACCAAATGTCCTGCTCTGAGATTCCCTGAGAGGCAGAATGAAAAGATTTATAGACATGCACTTAAAAAAAAAACTATCCTCTAAGAGCAGTGATGATATTCTGAAATGGAAAGTCACTAGGTTAGTGCAGACTCTTGGCTTTGAGCTAAAAAGGATGTTCGCAAGACTTTTTGTTGTAAATGTTGGTCCTGTTGGACCAGAAGCAAAGAAAGCTCAGAGATAGAAAAGTGTATGTTCGTGTTCTACCCCTTATATTGTTCTGGCCTATGGCCCTGGGAAAATCCTTTCAGAAAACAATAATATCCTAAAATAAGGTGTGAGTGTGGGGCTTTGACAAACATTTTTTGAGTTGAGATATATAAAGCATCTGGCTTCAGAATCACACAACAGTTTTCATGTGGACCCAGTCCTGCCTCTTCGCCTCTGAATGGTCTCCTGTGGAGAGCTGTGAGTGATGCCTCCCTTCTTGTCTGGTGGTAGAGGGCCTACCATCTCCTCAGGAGAGGGAGCTGCTGCCCTGTGGTGATTGAACCTTGTCCAGGTGGTAGCTTATTCCTCCTGACATGATCAGAGAGAGAAAATTTTATAATGGGCATGAAGTGTTACAGCAAGAAAGAAAGAACTTGTCCATACTCAAGGCTGCTTTTATCCCCACAAAACACATAACACGCACACACACACACACACACACAGGTATTCACCTGTACACAAAGCAGGCGTTTTTTTTTTTTTTTGTGGTACCAGGGATTGAACTCGGGTCCTTGCACTTGCAAGGCAGGCCACCGAACCGCTGAACTAAATCCCCAGCCCCACACAAGGCAGTTTTGATTCTCTACATTTCCTAAATAATATTTCCATATGAAATTTGCATTTAATAAAATAATTTCACTGCTATGGGGAGGAAAGAAAGATTGAAAACCACTGCTCTACTTGTTTATTTCTTTACACTCAATTTGGGCAACTTGCAGAAACTTCATGGGATCCATGGAGATGTTCCCAGTATCGTAAAACTACACCTAGAAATCATAAATCATAAATAGTCTGAGATAGTCACTTTTGTTGGGCCTTGATATCCTATACTTTCGTTCTACCATTATGTAAGCCATGCTTTTCGCCTTTAAAACTATAGTGAAGGAACAACAGCCAGAAGTAGAAAAATGTTGACCTCTGTATACTCACTTTCCTTAGTTGAGAGCTTTGAATCCTTAGAGCTTTAGAAGGCATCATGTTTAGGTACAATAAGGCTAACCAACTTCAATCCAGGTGCTGGGCAATAAGATTTAAAACAACAAAGTAGTTATCATTACACTGATTTTATGAATGGGACAGTTGGATTCAAAGAGGTTAATATGTGTGACCCAGCTAGGACAAATAACACCAAGATCTGAATCGAGCACTGTCTTGATTCCCAAGCTCATCATCTTATGCCTTCTTCTCACATGAAGAATGAGGGGCCTGGTCTGGTTCCTTCATTAGATGAGGAAACTAAGGCTTAAAAAGGAGAAAGAACTTGCATAATGTCATTTCATGGCTTAGGAATAAAAATCAAGTCTCATCTCCTGATCCAAGCTGCATTCATGTCTTCAAGACCCTTCCTTTACCAAGTTCCTATTTGGATTCAGAAATATATATTTGCCTCCTTTTGTTATCTCATCATCATTATTGCAGTGAGGAAGACTGATGTTAGTAAATCCTTTATGTGTCTACTATATTCTATAGTTCCCAAAATGTCACATCTTAACATACAGTCTTCTTCTTTGCAATAACTGAGGTAGGTTGGACAGGGATTTTGGTATCTGTTTTTACAGATGAAAAGAGGGTAGTTTCAAAGGTTTGAATAACTTGAATTACCTATCTGTCAGGACTAAAGCCTTTCCCAGATCTGGTCTTCTGACTTCAAATCTTATTGCTTCCCCGTAGGACATTGGCACTAGGGTATTATTGGAGAGTGCAGTAGACTGGCTTTTCTAGGAGTAGTTTCTTTGCTGGAGATTTTGGGAGTCTGGGTCTGATATGGAAGTACGATTTTTTTCCCCTGCAGAACAATTGGCTCCTAACCCTAGTCCTTTTCTAAAAACAAAATCCACTTTTCTTGCAGATGCCAGAGTGTATATGCATATTTGAACAGTCACCTGGATCTGATTAAGAAGGCTCAGCCTGTGGGTTTCCTCACTGTTGATTTACATGTTTGGCCAGATTTCCATGGCAACCGGTCTCCCTTAGCAGATCTGACACTAAAGGGCATGGTAAGTAACAGCTTGTCCTTGCACGAAGGTGAAGGCAGGCCAAAGCACTAAAAAGTTTGGAAGAAGCAAAGTGAAGAGGAAAAATAAAACAAAACAGGCCACTAGCACACTGACCTCTTGGAAATGCGTTGCTGGTGTGAAGGACCTTGGTGTTCCGAAGACAACCTGTTGAAAGTTCTCATTGTTCCTGAGCCAGCCTTAAGCACGTTCAGAGTAGTATATGTTCAGCTCCTTCTGCTGCTTTGTCCATGGTGGTTGGAAGTTGTGCCTATGTAATTTGTGTATTTACGTCAGTTGATAAAGTCATGTTTTTTATCTCCATCCACCTGGCAAATTGGTGGTAAATATTACCATCCATAGTTTTGCTTGTCATGGCCACAAGTCATGTAGCCTGAGTCAGGGCTCTTCAGAATCTGTACCAATATTTTTAGGGTTTCAAATTAAACTTTGGTCAAAAATAAATACCATTAATAACTTATGATGGGTAATAAATTCAGATCTTAATAAGCTTTAAGGTCACTCCCAGTACAGATTCTGGGCCTTCCTAGAAGGTCAAAGATGAACTTGGTGGGCAAGATTACAACCACTTATCCAGAGGCTTAACTTCATGGAGGCCAGGAGGACTAGGTGGCTGGGAGCAGTCTGACCAGCAAGAATATCTGAGAATGAATGAAACAGTTTAAAGCAAGACCTAAGTGTGAATTCCAAGGGTCAAAATAAGAAGCCATGATTACCAAATCCAGGAAGATATCAGGAAGTTTAGAACCAAAGCAGAAGGAGATGAAGGGGTAGTAAAAATAAGCACCAGAAGCAATGCGAGGCATAGATAGGCATGAAACCAGCAGGACCTCAGGTAAACCCTGCAGCCTTCAGGAAGTTCAAGCCCCAAAATACTACAGCATGCAGTTGGTTTTATTGATTATTTTAAATATTTTTATCCTCAACAGGAAGATCTGAACTTTGTTTTCATTACCTAGTTGACATAATCAACTTTTGCTAATGAAAGAGAGACGTGGGCAAAAAAGCAGAGAATTATACATAACAAAATTTCCATTTTTAATGTTTGTCTGGAGACCATGAAACATGCTTCCAGAACAGATAATAGCTAGGTCTTCTCATTCAGCCTATGGTGACAGAGAGGACTGTTCAGAGGGCCGTGTGGTCATGGGCTTAGCTAGGAAGCCTTATTTTCAGATAACCAACTCTGTACAGATGGGGGGTAGGGTAATAACACATTTTATATAGGTACAAACAGGAGTATTTTAATGAATACTAAAGAACTTATGGAGTTAAGAGACTTGTCCATTTTTTAAGATGATCCCAAAACAGAGCGGGGTAGCGCAGTAAATGATCATAGCTCTGGACCAGTTCAAATCTGCAGCCATCCCTTGCCAGAAGTCATAACCAGCCTCAGTACCAGGCATCATGTCTCACCTGACTTCCAAAGGAGTCTGTGGGCTGCTTTGAGGAATGCCCACCTCATTTGAATAAGTATGTACACACTAAAAGAGGCTTCTTGCATTGGGGTATACGCCCAATTATATCCAAATCTGCTCTATTTACTCCTTAAAGAGTTTTAGTGCTTCACTCAGAATCTCTCTCCTTACTTCCAATTTTGAATAAATCAAAATAATTTTCCTGAAGTTCTTCTGTAAGCATGTTACTGTATATCCTTTTGCCAGAATCTACAGTGTTATTAAAGGTTTATGCTGGAAGCTACAGTGTTACTGCATGTTAGACCTTTTGGTAGTCACATTTCCAGTACTCATTCAGTAAATACTCATTGGGTATCTAGTGTGCCAACCAATGCTGCAGATGCAGTGAGGCTCAAAAATTCATTCATTCATTCAAAAAAATTCCTTAATTCACAGGGCAGGTTTAAAGTGCATGGGGAGAAGGGTTTCATAAAATATTAAGAGCATCTAGAATTGTCAGGATAATCTCCATATGGCAAAAACTATGTACAGTTTCTTCTTCTGGCTTCTGCATCACTTCTCTGGGCACATAGTAAGTGCTTAATGATAATCTGTAGGCATCATTGTGATAATAAACAGGTTATTTATTACTCTAGGAAGAAATAAACATATGGACAATTTACTAATACCAAATGAATTAAATAGTTGCTTATTCTTACTATCCATAAATACTTACTATTAATATTAATGTCATAGTAAATTAAAATTAAAAATAAATTAAAATAAGTTTCCAGCCAAATGTGGTGGACTATTTCTGTAATCCTAGCTCCTAAGAGGATGAAGAAGAAGGATCATGAGTTCAAAATCAGCCTGGGCTATATAATTGAGTCTTTCTCAATGAAACAACATAAAATAAGCTTTCAGGTCCTGTTATATCAAGGGAGTTCTAAGAGTAATGAGACACAGTTCCACCCGTCAGGACTATTACTATCTTTAGGGGTAGACAGATGAAATGCAATGGGAAGGTGTGCAAACGCTAGGTGTCACCGTGCAGGCCATCTTGATGCTGTAAGAGATTGCACAGCCGTGTCTTGGGAGCCAAGGAAGGCTTCTAACAAGAGGGACATTGACTCTGAGCCAAGTAAGGAAGAGGGTTTAGAGCCAAAGGAGTCATGGTATATGCAGTGTTCTAGCAGGGAAAGAAAGCTTGTCATGTGAATGTCTGTGACTGAGCTCCTCATTTCCTTGTCTAATCTATGACAAATTGAAGTTAGTGCTATTTCTTAAAAATAAAAAAGAAAACATTTTCCTAGTGAACCTCTGGACTCCCTGAACTTCCACTCCAGCTGTACCACCCTCTCCTGCTTCTTCACCCTCCTCTCCACTGGTTGTCCTCTTACCTTTGTGGAACCCTCACCCATTCCATACATATGTGATGATCGCCTATTATGTGCTGCCTATGCTAAGTCCAGAGACTACAAAAACAAAAAATACTTACCCCAAGTTCACAAGAAAGTAAGAAAGATCATTATTGCATGAGTGTGTGTGTAAATCATCACTACACACGGTGGTCCTTGTAATGTAGAATAGACATCTGTGCAAACTGAAGGAAGTGCTCAGTGTCTCACTTTGAGTATTTTTAACTTTATTGGTACATTTAATGTACACAATATAATGACATTCACTGTTGGAAATTTGTTCCTGATTTTATCATGAAGGATTTCAGTTTTTGACCATTTAGTAGGATATTGGCTGTTGGTTTTTCATAGATGGCTTTTATCATAATGAGGTAGACTATTCCATTTTTCTGTAGAGTTTTTATCATGAATGCATGTTGGATTTTGTCAAATGCTTTTTCAGCACCTATTGAGATGATCATATGGTTTTTATCGTTGGCTGTATTAATATAGTGTATTACATCTATTGATTTGCATATGTTGAACCATCCCTGCATTCCTGGGATGAATACTTGGTCAGGGTGCACGATCTTCTTGATGATGTTGTGCATTCCAGTGTCATATTAAGGATTTTTGCATCTATGTTCATTAGTGATATTGGCCTACAGTTCTCTTTTTCAGTTGAGTCTTTTTCTACTTTGGGGATCAAGGTGATGCTTGCTTCCAGGAATGAATTTGGTAGTATTGCTTCCCTTTCAATTTCATTGAAGAGTTTAAACAGTAGTGGCAGTAGTTCCTCTCTAAATGTCATGTAGAATTTAGCAGTGAAGCCATCAGGGCCCGGGCTTTTCTTAGTAAATTTTTAATTACATTTTCAATTTAATTAATTGATATTGGGTTGTTTAGAATTTTTATGTCATCTTCATTCAACTTTGGTAATTCATATGAATCTAAGAATCTGTCCATTTCTTCTGTATTTTCAATCTTATTGGTGTAAAGTTTTTCAAAGTAGGTATTGATGACCCTCTGGATTTCTGCTTGGTCTGTTGTAATTTCACCCTTTTCATTCCTAATTACATGTATTTGTGTCTTTTCCTTCCTTTTGATAAGGTTAGCTAAGGGTTTGTCAGTTTTGTTTATTCTTTCAAAGAACCAACTCAGCTTTGTTGGGGTTTTTTTGCGTTGTTCTTTTAGCCTCAATTGAACTGATTTCTGCTCTGATCTTTATAATTTCCTCCCTTGTTTGAGCTTTGGGTTTGTCTTGCTCTTCTTTTTCTAGAAACTTGAGATTCAGCATCAGGTTTTTTAATTGAGCTCTATCTGTTTTCCTAATATGTGTGTTCAGTGCTATGAATTTCTCTTATAAGACTGCTTTCATTGTGTCATAGATTTTGATATGTTGTATTGTCATGTAATTGTAAGAACTGTCTAATTTCTTCTTTATTATCCTCTGTGACCAATTGGTTATTCAGGAGTATGTTCAATTTCCATGTGTTTGTGAAATTCTTGAAGTTTCTTTTGCTATTGATTTCCAACTTCATTGCACTATGGTCTGATAATATACAGGGGGTTACTTCAATAATTTATTTGCACTTACTTAGACATGTTCTATCAGCAAGTACATGGTCTATTTTGGAGACCGACCCATATGCAGCTGAAAAGAATGTACATTCTGATTTTGTGGGGTGGAACACTCTGTAAATATCCGTTAAGTTCATTTGTTCAAGAGTTTGATTGAGTTCTAGTATTTCATTTTTTATTTTCTGTCTAGCTGATCTATTTATTTGTGATAGTGGGGTATTGAGGGCCTCCATTACTATTGTGTTAGTACTTATTTGATTTTTCATGTTCATTAGTATTTGTTATATATAGTTGGGCGCAGTAGTGTTTGGTGCATATATATGATTGTCATCTCTTTGTCTTGGATTGTTCGCTCTACAAGGATGTAATGTCCTTCTCTGTACTCTTAATCCATTTTTGGTTTGAAATCTATGTAATCTGCAAAGAGGATAACTACTCCTGCTTTTTTTTGGTGGGGGGGTTCCTGCCACATGGAGTATTGTTTTCCACCCTTTAACTTTGAGTCTGTTAGTTTCTTTTTGAATTAAGTGTGTTTCTTATTTGTAGCATATTGTTGGATCTTGTTTCTTGACCCATTCTCCCAATCTATTTCTTCTGATTGGCGAAT